GATGGTTATTGTTAGGGATGTGGGGGAGCTGAGTGGCAAGGGGATGGATTGCGTTGAGGTTGGTGTTGGACGCGGGTGGGGGTGTTTTGGAGGATGACTTGGGTGGGATGGTTGGTTCAGCACTTGGGGGAGGAAGCGTATCTTTCTCGAGTTCGGACGGACGGGGAGTGGGGCTGGGTCGAGCCGCGAGTGCAAGCGCTGCGGACTTTGCCCAGATGACAATGCAGATGAGCAGGTCGGTGAGTGCGAGCACGGCGGATTTCGAGACAGCCTTCCAGGGGCTGAGTGTGTCGGATATGCAAGGATTGGCGGCGGCGCGGGAGGAAAGAGGGGTGCAGCAGCAGCAGCAGCAGCTGCTGCAACAGGAGCAACAGCAGGCGCGGCTGCAGCAACAGCAACAGACGCAGCGGCAGCAGCAGCAGCAGCGGGCTCAAATAGCTGCACAGGCACAGGCACAGGCACAAGCTCAAGCCGCGCAGGCAGCGCAGGTGAGGTGCACAGGTTTTGGTTTTAGGTGGTGGAGTTGGGATGGTGCAGTGGGTTTGGGAGGTGAGGGATGTGCGAAGTTGGTGGTGAGTGGGTAAGAGTTGCAAGTAGCGTGGTTGGCGACGCAGATGAGACTTATGGTTTGCACGTTTGCAGGCGTTGGCATATTCACAAGCTTTGCAGCAGCAGCTGTATTCGGGCGTGGAGTCTGGGTACCGGGGTCAGCCGAAGTTTGGTGTGGGTGGGATGGGAGGTCAACAAGGTGGTGCAGCGGGGCTCCAGGCGAACCTGGGGGCGAATACGAATCCAGCGGCAGCGAATATGTATGCTGCGGCTGCAGCGGCGGCCATGTACATGGCACAGCAGAATCCGTACTACCCAAGCATGAACTCCGCGAGCGTTTACGGTCCACAGTATGGGCTGGGTGGATACCCTATGAATCCTGCAATGCTGGCCCCGATGATGGCGGGGTACTCGCCCCCGGTGTTCGATCCCGCAACCGCAGCTGCCCTTGCGAGCATGGGCGTGAGAGCGGGCGTCCCCGGATCTCCTGCGCAGGCAGCGGTGGACATGCAGAATCTGTACAAGTATGCAGGCGGAGCATCGCCGCAGATGCACGATCCGCTGTACTTGCAGTACATGCGTGCGGCGGAGGAGGCCAGGGCAGCGGCGTTGGATCCTGCGGCGCTGAGGAATTACATGGGAGGAGGTCCCGTGGACATGGCGGAGGTTCAGAAGAACCAGCTGAATGCGATG